GACAATATATGAAGTGAAAACACCGATTTCAGGCGGTGTGGCGGCCCTCGCACTGGTATCTTATCAGTGAAAGTGGTCCCCCTCTGAAAATGAGTGAATAACATTGCTATATGGTGTTATTAAATATTTACCCTAGACACCAGGTTAGCTCTCTAAAGACTCTCAATAATGGTTTGCCTCAAAAGCCTCGGTGTTGGCACCATTGTCATTTAATATCTCAACAAGCAACCTGTTACAAATAACATCACAGAGGATCGCGTACGCCGATAATGTGACCTTTGCCAAACGAACACGAGATTGAGATGACATGAGCCGCGCACCAATCACAGACAATACCATAACGGAGGGCGACTTTGGCACGGTGGCACCTCTGTCTGAACCCATAAAATTGCTGTGGTTACTGCTCTGCTTGCCATTTTCGATGATCGGCCAGCGAATGGTGAACATCAACGCTTCTTTCCATGGCGAAAAAGTCCAGGAGGTGGACAACCAACCCAAAATATATTGGTGTAAAGCTTGACTTGCCGAGGACACCCGAGAGGCAGGTCTGCATGATAAAAGAAAGCGCAAGCAGAAACTTGCGGGACACGAGCTGGAGAGCGACCGCGTGAACTCTGCATGCCGCAACGTTGGCCTGCATGGTTTTCCACCCATAATGTGTTCCTGTCTGGGCGAAGAACATTCGCACAAAGCACTTGGACCCCTTCCTAAATTTAGCAATGCACATCATCACCGGCACACTCACCTCCACTCATCTTCCCTGGCTGCCGAGGCTATCAAATATTCCACGCACCCCACTATCAGTACCCGCAAGCTCGACTGTTGATATCTGCATGGATATTACCACGCTAAAGGCAACACATAACCCCACGAATATCTCCAAAATATACGGCAAGCTCGTTCTGGAACTGACTGATGCACCACCATATGAACGCAGGAGTCGACGCTACAACATTGGAGACAATTCTGATCTATTACGATGACGTGCCGAACAAGCATCTGGCATTGGATTTCACCACTGCACCACGTGGTGATGACCTTGCCTGAAACAATGGAGCGCCTGACCTGAAAACAATGGAGCATGTATCTCAATTGATTGCCACGTGACCTATCATGGTCATAGCCTTCACGAGTGGAACATCAAAAGAGACCCGTATTGTGACCTTGGAGACCGCTGATCAAATATTTGAGTGCATTGTAAATCACTGCAAACTATGGGAAGTCAACATAGGCACAGCAGCAGCAATTCATTGAGCGTCACCTGAAACTGTCGCGTGGCTTTCCAGCCTGGACATGTATCTTTCAGTGGCATATCCAATATGCGATATGCAATAAGAATATGCCAGCTCTGTATTATAGCTATCAGTATGAGATCACTTCATGACAGGGCCGTATTTCCCAGTTCCAAGTGTATTTTATTTAACCAGATGAGAACGCAAGAGATAAAACATGCAACGTTGGCTTGTTATATATGTGATATATTATATGATAAATATGTATGGTTTTTGTATTTGTTATGCACATATGATATCTCTGTGTTTAAGATGTGCATGCTAAGTCTCTATGAGAGCACTACTTCTTTCGCATGGCATATTTTTGGAATTGCAACCGATTACAAATTGATGTCGAGGTTTGATATCCATTCGACTGCTTCAGGAGTCGCCGCTTAGATTTGTTTCAGATCGTCGCTGAATGATCTGATTGTTGCACGGTTTTAAATGTTGCACCACCACAGTCACAAACTGGACTCTCGTTAATTTTACAATTGTAATTAAGTGTCCACATCTTCCATGGAGTATCCGGATCCGATTAAAGGTGGACCAGATCTTTCTCGGAAGGTCAGATCCGAGTTGGAGAATTATGGGGTCGCTGATGATGTATTTCTGCAGCAGGTTGGTGTTTTTACCCAGGCTTCCCTCCATCGTGCTTTGGTGGTCTAGTCATCGTCATGGAGGTTCTTTGCATATTGGCAGAAAGGTTTTTTAGGGATTTGAGTCTGTGCAGCAGTATCATGGAGATGTCCTTGTTTATTGGGATGTTAGGATTTCTGATAGTCGTGCTATACTCCCTCACACACGCGGCATCGCGGCAGAGCTACAGAGGAGCGATGTTTGTGAGGACCAGAAGCCACTGCAGCGGTGTGCTCTTTGGCGTCCTTGAGATGATCCTCATGGGTACATTTAGCTGTGTGTCCACTATCTTCATGTGCATGCTTTTATTCCAGGCTGGAGCACAAGATGCTGCCACAGAGAGAACTACTGTTGTGGTAGCCGTACGGAGCATCATTGCGTTTCCCCCCCCATGTTGTTCCGGTGACTATATGAAGTAGATTAACTCGTGATTTAGTTTTTATAGCAGTATTCTGCAGATGTTCGTGGAAGGTGAGCCTCCTGTCGAGAGTTACACTGACATATTTCGATTACTTCTCGTGGTGGACCTCTTCGCCACGGAAAGTGATGGCCAGTTTCTGGTTAGCATTTGCATTTTTCAGGTGGAATGATGTGACCGCAGTTTTACTTGGGTTTGGGCAGAGCCTCCGGTACCTGAAGTACATTTCGAGTTTCTTGAGGTCTTCGAACAAAGGTCGCTTTGGACCTCAGTTTGGGTCCTTCTTTTGATGGTAAGTGCCAGATCATCGGTGTAGCCAAATTTCTGGCTGATGGCAACAGAGAGGTCACATATATACGTTAAAAAGTGCTGGAGCAAGCTCTGATCCTTGTGGGAGCCGATTATTGAGTAAGCGGATTCTGCAGATAGTGTTTCCCAGGTGGACCCGGTATTGCCGGTTGGACACTAGTGATGATAGGCGTCGGAGGGTCTGCTGGCATCTGATGACCATCGAAACCGTTAGCATGAGGCTCCCCCCCCAACATGGGTCATAGGCCGCTGATAGGTCGACGAAAGCAGATGCTGTGATGTCCTTGCCCTTCAATGTGTGAGGTGAGTGCCAGCACGTGCTTGCAATGTGCTGCGTCCAGGGCGGAAACCAACCTGTTTAGTTAGCATAGCCTCCTCGAAGATTGGTGATGTACTGGTCAGTAGCATCCTCTCGATGAGTTTGTACACCGTGCTAAGCAGGTATATGGGGCAGAAGTTACTTGGTTTTGCGGTGTATTTCTTGGGCTTCGGATTCGCAATGACGTTCGTTTGTCACAATTTATTCAGAATTTTGCCTGAGACCATTGTGTCCGAAAGCAATCTGGCCCACCAGCGGAATCCATTTTGGCCAAGGTGTTTCAGGAACTTTGGATAAATCCCGTATAATTCTTATGATATCTATGTATGTTAGCACTGTATTATACCTAAATATCTTATCTTTGTATGAAAGCTCCATATTATAACGTATGATCGCTCTGTATGATATCTCTATATGAATCTCTATGTTATCTACACATTATAGCTTGCTATTCTCACTCTATATGATAGCTCTGTCGGTGAGCTATTTATTAAGCTCTAAATGAAAGCTCTTCAGTTTATGTATGTTGAACTTCGTTGGCACCATACACAGTCAACCGTGATAATCTTTGTTAGCCCTGGATAAATGCTCTGTGCCCTAGCTTTGTGTGATAGTTATGTGTGCATATATATCTTCTTTGGTTCTTTCGGTAAAGTCACGTAAAATGAGAATAAAATAATAAATTGATAAAATAAAATAACACAATAATATTCTCACGACGTTTCGGCCACAACACAAGCGGCCTTCATCAGGTGAAGAGACGAAACGTCGTTAGAATATTATTGTGTTATTTTATTTTATCAATTTATTATTTTATTCTCATTTTACGTGACTTTACCGAAAGAACCAAAGAAGATTAATCATTGCAGTCACGAAAGCTTTAAATGTGCATATATATGTTAGATTTATTTGATAGCTTTGTATGATATTCCCATGTGATAGCTCTAAATTTCAGCTCTGTGTAATCGCTGTGGATGTTATCTCTGTATCATACATAGCGTTGTAGGATAACTCTGTACATTACCTGTGCATGGTGGCTCAGTATGAATCTCTATATAATATATTTGTGTGCTTGCTCTGCAGGATCTCTTAATCTTGACTCTGTGTGAAACCGTTTATGTTAGCTCTGTATGATAGCTCAGTAGAGTGCCCGTGTTTGATAACCTCTGTATGAAACACAGTGTAATAGCAATGTATAATTGCTCTTTGTCATCTCTAATATATCTATTTAAGATTATCACGCATTGTTTCTGTGTAAGTTAGCTCCATATGGTAGCTCTGTCTATTATCTATGTCGGTTATATCTGAATGATAGCTCTAAACGTTAGATCCTTGAAAGCTCAGTATGATTGATCGGTATGATACCTACGTACACGATGTGTATAATTCCACTGGGCTATTGGAATTGCTTGGTGTTAGACGCCGTTGTGAAATATGTTTGTTGTGCCAATGGGTTCTCACCTTGATACATTATAATACGTCGTACTCTTAAATCGTTATCGATAAATGAACATACACGCCAATCACCACCATCACCCTCATAATCATGACTAATCCACTGCTGGATGAAGGCCTCCCCAAGCCGTCGCTGAATTTATCAAGGTTTTGGCGATGTTAACGTGTACTCAATAATTTTAATGTTGCAGAAATTGTGCGTATCTTTTCATTGACCATCTTCTGCTAGAATTTGACAATGTCCCACTATGACTCCAAAGTACGAACAAATGCTTCCAACATTTGTATTACACTCTTAACAACACGTGCCACGGTTCATTAAAAAAGGGAATTTTCACTGTCGCCCAAGTGTGTGTATGTGCATGTATTGTAATAACCGCCACAAAACGACTGTGTTGGATATATCTTTTTTTACATAACAGCAACTCAGAAGCTGACCTCGACCGCTGCGGTAGCCGACTCAGCGCTAACGAGTGGCTAATAAATTAAATAACATGCAAATTACACAAATTAAACAATTAATTGGCTCCAGTTCCTTTTTTGACGTTGGCAGTTCCTCATGGAGATTCGTTTAAAAAGAGGCGCCTGAGTCCAGAGAGGCACAGCGACTCGGCTCTGCAGCTCTCAACAGCTCCAGCTACAGCCACCACTGTCCCCTCTCTCGCTCTCTCGCTCCCCAACACTCTCACGCTCTCCGCTACTCGGGTGAGCCTGCAATACTTCTGCTCGGAGCCTATCCGTGCCATTTCGAAAGATGTTGCTTACTTGTTAAATGCCCGTTTGAATCTTGCTTCGTGAGAAATGTTCGCATTGTGTGTGGCGGTGCGCTCGTCAAATTGTCTTTGTGGTCGTTGCTGCTGAATTCTTATGGGGATGGATCCACGCAGGGTTGGCAGCACGTGCCGGCGCCTTCACACTTGATGGCTCTGCACCCAGTGTTAATTATGTTCAGTCGATCGAATGTGAAGACAACACGTTGCTCGTTTGATGAACGTTTTGGTCGAGGACGCAATGCACTTGCAATGTGCCCCCGATCCGATCAGAATAACTGGGCGTCTGTATGTTTTTGTCGAAAGTTAAACAATGAATTCACCTAATTTAATTTCTGGACTAACTTGGGCGTGAACCCGTTCGCTTCGACCTTTGGCTCAAATTCAACAGCAGCAATGAAGACGCAGCCTTTCACGCGTCGCACAACTCAGCGTATAACTTCGAGCGGCCAATCGCATTTTTTTGTAAATTTTGGCAAATTTTGGCACGCGCATGAATCACTTCGGTGCGAGATGCGTTTGCGATGGTACTTAACGCGCCCTGTCCGTTTTTGTCTCTCGCCCTTCAGCCTGCAGGAGCCAACCATCATGTGGATCAAGTGGATCGCCACGCTGGTCGCCTTTGGCGCCCTGGTGCAAAGTGCGGTAGCATGTCCCTCGCAGTGTTCGTACATATAGTCTCCTCAGCAGGGCGGGGGCCAGACACAAACAATGCAGGGTTCTTAACCAAAATTGAAGTTGCTATCAGGATATATGTAGTTAAATATATTAACATATATTTTATATAGTGTTAGACATGAAGTGTATATGATATATAAAATTTTCCAAAACATATTTAGATTGTATTTTTAAAACAAATAAGCTATTTGTAAAAAAAAAAAAACTATGTTAAATAATTCGAATCTGGAAAATAAAATCCAATTCTGGAAAATGATCAAATAATGACAAAACACCTTCCATGAGTAAAATCATAATAATCCGAATTTAGAAAATAAGTTAAATCTGGGAAACTTGGGCCAATGAAATTTAGATAAATGTATAGGCTGTCACTCGAAGTAGCCCAAGTAGGTGCTGCATAAATCAGTGTGCGCAATTGATATCGATGAAGGCGTCTCAGATGGAATTACATAAAATACAATTCACACGAAATCCCAAACCGTAGAATATATAAAAACACGACATTTAGTCTATCCATCAAGAAAACAAGCAATCAATGTATTCGTGAACACTGAAAATCCTGTGAAGCCAGCTACCAAGGTAGAATGCAAGGGAGATCCCACGGTGCAATGGCACAGAACAAGAACAACGACATCAAAGTGATACGTGCAGAAGGAACGGGCAACAACGGAACAGAACGCGTCAGAGGTGCAGGCAAATATAGTGCTTAAAGAACAATAAACAACAGGCACATTGCACCACCAACAGCAATAAGGATGAAGTAATGAACTGTTGGACAGGGCATGAGCACGATGCAAAGCGAATGCGAACGAGCGAATAAAACAACAACAACAACCACCACGGGAACGCAGACAGGAATAGCACGTGACTTTCGGTAGAGGTGCAGCATCCAAACTGTGTGTGTGTATTCTGAGCTCAGAGTGATTTGGAATGGGGTAGGGCCAGGAGAGGGAGCCGAGCCTCAGCCGAAGAGGCGAGGGCATTAATAAAATACCAACAAAGCAATATACTACAGGAATTATAATTTACAACACATGAAGCTTATCCTCCATTATACTAAAGGTCAATTATTAAAATCAAGGAATGGCACAGTTTAAGGTAGATAGCCAGCTGTCCTGTATTGAGAGATATATTATGAAACATATTGAAAGATGTAGACTCTCTTGACAGAGGCGAGGTTAATTGAGCTCGACAGCTCGTTTTCCAAGGGCGACCTGTCCATGAAGGCGGCAATGATGCCACATGCACAGGTAACTACGAGGAATGATACGTTACAAGAACTAGTGGGAAATAAAACGCAGCGAGTGTCAAAAGTACTTTAACAACAAATGGAATAATTACAACGGATTGGAGGAAGGCCTGCAAATGCGAAGACCCGTTTCAAGAACATTGCATAAAGTGACAGAAGTAATTATTGTTTTTATCAATTAACCGGTTGGATCATTCGGAATCGCGTTCGAATCTGTGTGTGTAATACTCTTGAAGAAACAATCATAAGCTGCGTAGAGCTGGATGCGATTGCAACTCTCAGTGCCAAGACCGGTTCATTCCGAAATTTAGACGCAGCGATTGAGAATGCCCCGGAACACTTTGGTGTTCTCGAGATTAGCCGGGGTTGTGACCCATTCCATAACTGCGTGAATTGTTTATATATATTTTAAATAATTTTTATTCCTTCAATGAAGATGGCATGAACGAAACCAATATCTGCCTCTGTTGATTTAATATTTTTTGGGTAAATAATTTCACCACTGCCTTGGCGATGTAACCAGGAGTCAGGCGCCTGTGATGAGATGAATTACAGGCAGCTGAAACACAGATTCTAAGCCAGGAACAAAACAATGCCAGCTCAGGCCTCTCTGACCTCCGAGCCATCTGCCCATTATTTTTGTAGCAGAGGATTCCTAACGACTATGGGCTTGTGTTTATAAGGCAAGGTCACGATTCTGGTGGTCATAAATTGCTGATGCCTTAAGAGAAGCGTTGATGGCAGTGCACGTGGCCTGTAATCCAGCAAAGGTTGGTGGATCACCACACAAAGGTTCAGAAACTCCTTTCTCGTGCGCGTCGAGGAGGAGCCATACCCTGGTTCACAAGGAGAAGGCAGTATAGCAAATGTGGACTCCACCTATTCCATATTTATGGCAGACATGTGTGGGTTTTATCCAGGTGTTCCAGTTTCCTCCCACATGTAATTACTCATTAATTGTCCAACACCACTCTAATATAAAGAAGACCGCAGAGCTCTGGCAATAGTTGGTGCTAGTTCATTATGTGGTTGCCTTCCAACGTGTCTATGTTTTCTCCACGTGCATTCAAGTCGTTCTCCGTCTTCGAGAATGAGCAAATACTGTGGTAATCAGATCGCGGAAATAATGTATACTATTTATGCATGTAAGTTGAACTTCTTTCACATAGTACATAGCCAACCATGCTAATCGGAGGTGCGGGCTAGAATAACAGCTATGGGTATTCTTTGGGTCTTTCGGTAAAGTCACGAAAATAGGTTCAAAGAAATAACAAAAATAACAAAAAACTACGACGTTTCGATTGCAACACAAGCGATGGTCACATCGTCGATAGATCGGTGCATTCAAACAGCTCTAGTTTGAGCTCAGCAACTCTTCCCCCATCTCAAGCCTCACCCCTTTCGATGACATTGGTGATCAGCCTGAACCGTTTAATTTCAATAATATCACAGCGCTGGATGTGCTCAGCCAACTAGCCTCACGTAAGACACCCTCCTCAACTCGGGAAGATAAACTACCCACTTTTTAATTAGTTGCAGTGGGTGAAATTATAATCTATAAACCTCTTGTCCATCCCCAGGAATTGAAAACTGCGTTCATTCATCCTCTCCACAACAGGTGTATCTACAGACGACTCCAACTGTTACCAGCCAATGTAGATCCTATCACCATAAATTAACATTTTCCAAAAAGTCTGAAGGCCCAAATTAACAATAACACCACACAAATGGGCTGTCTCACCCTAAATAATCAGGCTTCCATAAAAACAAAAACTATTGCACAAAGGCGGCAGTACTCAACTACCTTGATTTCGTATTTAATAGACTGTACAATGAGCAATACTGTGCCATACTTTTCCTTGACTTGTCCAAAGACGTCGATACGATCGGTCATGTAACCCTAATAATACGACTCGACAGCCTCAATTTCTCCGTCGATACAATTGAATAGTTAAATAGCTACCTTTTTGAGCAAATTCAGGTTGTTTCGGTCGACAACTCCTACCCAAAATGTTATTAATCACGAAGGCAGTTCCACAATGCTCCACACTTAGACCAATTGTATTCCTCCCTCTGTGTAAATTATCTGGGAAACCAACTCAAATTGTCTGTGGTCATTATTTCTGACGATACTGCAATACTGTTAAATGGAATTTCACCAGAAGCGGTAATACCTTATATGAGAAAGTGATTTTGACCTAATTCAACATCCCCTTTTCCCCTAAAATTGTTTCTGAAGGCAAATCAAACCGAGGTAATTATTGTCTCCAATAAGAGAAATCCTGCCACTTTAACTACCCAGGTTGTGGATCAAGATAATAAACACATCGAACAAGTAGGGAATTACAAATACTTAGGATTCATCATCGAGTCCAAATTTAAGTTTCACTTCCACTTTGATTATTTTGAAGATTAAGATTAAAATCGGCTTACTATGCAGAGATTAAAACCGGAGACCATCCCTGCTACATTTGGATATGGTAAAAAAAAACACACTTCTTGCGTACCTTCTCAAGCTATGGTTCCGATTACAAGAAAACCTTGCTCAACGCGACTTGATTGAACACTTATTTTGGCTATACACGGTTTACCGAATGAGGTCTGTTTTCTGGAACACGGGGGTGATGTTTCGGCTAGACGCTAAGAATCTCATCTGTGCGTCGAAAAGTAGTGCCGTAAGAGTGCTGCATCATATTCTTAACTCTTTCGGTAAAGTCACGTTGAAGGGAAACAATCAAATAATAAAAAAATATATAAAACAATAAACATTCTCACGACGTTTCGATCATAACACAAACGGCCATCATCAGGTGTGTCGTTTTGCATTAATTTATTGATTTGCAGCGGTTTATTTATTTATTAAAAACGTCAGCGCCACGTGCAGCGATTTGGTAGTTTATTTAGAAGGACTAGTCCATCTATGTTCTGAAAAGAGGAGGGGGGAGACGAAAAATTAATGTATGTTGTCTGAAAGCCACTGTAAGCGTGAACAATCAATTAAGACCTGAAATGGTTAATCAAATCTTTCCAATGATTGCTTAGCCAGAATCCATCTTCTCGGTTGAAATTGTCTCTGTGCTTGTATATGTGGATAGCCTCATGAACGAATCTCTCGTGGTAGCCAGATGGCTTACAAAGAACCTCTGTCTTGGAAAAGTCAATGTCATGTGAGCCTACTGAATTATAACAATGATCTGCCACGGCCGAGGTGTTGGTCCTACCGTGTTTAAGGTCTGCTTTGTGTTCTCGAATGCGGTCCGAGACATGGCGTTTTGTTTCTCCAATGTAACTACTACCACAGAGGCAACTTAGTTTGTAGACACCAGGGTACTGTATGTCCGGAATCACATCTTTTACAGACGGAACCAGATCACGGATTTTATGTAATGTGTTAAAGCGGACCTAGATCTTGTGTTTATTCAAGATTTTGGAGATCTTTCTTGTGATCCCCGCAATGTAGGGTAAAGTGATGGTTTTGAAAGGCTCCTCAAGAGGGTCCTTCTTCATGGTTTGAGTGATAGCTTTGCGGATTGTATAATCGGGGTAACCATTAGCCTTAAGAGCTTAGTGTACGTGCTTGAGTTCACTGCCTATGTGTTCCTGGTCGGATATGCATTGGGCTCTATGGTACAGAGTCTTGATGAGAGAATTCTTCTGTGATGGATGATGGTGGGAATCCGGTTTCAGATAAGCATCCGTATGGGTAGCATTCCTGTAGACAGAGTGGCTCATTGAACCATCAGGTCTCTTTTTATTAGGACATCCAAAAAAGGTAGCTTGCCATCTTTTTCGACTTCCATGGTAAATCTGATGGCTGGGTGTATGGAATTGATGTGGTCGAAGAATTGGTCTAGAGCAGGCCGGCCATGTGGCCAGATGACAAAAGTGTCATCCACGTACCGCTTCCATAAGGTTGGGCGCAGAGTGGCAGTCTGGATGGCGTCAGTCTCAAATTTCTGCATGAAAATGTTAGCTATAACCGGAGATAGGGGGGAGCCCATTGGGGTGCCCTCAGTTTGTTTGTAGAAAGTTCCATTCCAAGTGAAGTATGTATTGGTTAAACAGTGTCTCACCAGGGGGGTACCTCAGTGTTTAGTCCTTGATGAACCAAGTCTTCAATGATTGCGATGGTGTCAGGTACAGGAACCTTGGTGAATAAGGAAACTACATCAAAACTGACAAGCAGGTCGTCTGGGGACAGTGAAATGCCCTTGATTGTCGATACCAGGTGAGTTGAATTTTGTACCGCAGAGGTGGTTTTTCCAGTGAAATGACGCAGGATTTCAGACAAAAAACGAGCCAGTTTGTAGTTGAAAGGTGTGAACGAATCGCTTGTGATTTATTCATCACATATGTTTTTGTATATGTATGTTTCATGTGTATGTTTCTTTGTGTAGCACACTCAACACGCTCAGGTACAACGTAACAATAGAACAACGTAAATATTTCCACATTAACGCATGCATAGATTCCTCCAGTAATTGAGGATATCAGTCATGAGAACGTTTTGATGGCGAAACATTAACGGCCAAGTGGCAGTGTCAGGGGCGAGCGTTTGGTGTGAGTGCTGCTGAGTGGGAAAGGTAATGGAGACGGGGGTTTTGTGTTAAGTTTAAATTGAAAGAGTGTACACGCACACACACAAGACATTGGAAGAACGACTCAGCATCCTTTAGCACAAAAACAAGGGCAGAATCATGTGGAATTAGTTAAACATTGAGGGGGGGGGGGGGGGGGTGATACTTTTGGACACATGAACATAACCCTATTTTTATGATAAGGTATATTCTTTGTAGAACGCGGTTTTGCCCAACACGGCATTTTACAAGAACGTGTCATAGTTGGTAATATACACTGATTAAAATATATAACAAATATATTTTTCCATACACGCATCGCTTTATTGCTTTTCATTATTAAGTTTCCTTTCCAAAAAGCACTCTGACCCGTTCTCATCCATTCCGCCTTTAAAAGCTGCAATCGGGATACATGCTCTTAAGTGTGTCCCAGGTGTATCTCTCTGGCAGGATATTTTTACATAGCTTTTTTGAACTTGTTGAACGTTTTCTTTTTTCTCGAGACGCACTTTGCAACCTTCTTCGTAATCTTATATTCCCTGCAGTTAATTTGCATTGCTTGTCAGAAATATAATCCGTTGATCAACAAATTTTGATTGTAAAAATATTGTCCGTTATATATTCATGCCTTTGCTTCGCAATTCGAATTTTGTTGAAACATTTTTCAAATGTTGGCGAGTATTTTAATTGCCCCTAGTTTATTAACACTCAGAAAGCACACATCCACATGGGACTGCGCCTGCACGGACATTATGTATCTCAGCACGTGGATCGGTCAGAATTCGGGTAAAGTCACTAAGGATAGAGTAAACAACCCAGATAGCGCTGTGTGCTTTGGTACCAATATAACTTTCCGTGGGTGATTTCTCTACTCGACCCCCACAGCCACAGCCGTGGCCTCACATCAATTGTTTCACGTGATAAATGATATACGTCTTCGTCGCTTTATTGCACTTGTTAGTGGAAGAATAACTCTACATGTTTTTTAGGTTTGTTAAATTCTCGTCTCTCATCTTTTTTGTTGTGTTTACCTCCATGATTTGTTCTTGACACCTGATGAAGATCGCTTGTGTTGTGATCAAACGTTGTGATTATTTTGTTTTAATATAATTTTATTGTATTTCTACATACGTGACTTTACCGAAAAAAAACAACGAGTAATTGTATGCAGTCACGAAAGCTTTAATACTTTATTAACACACTTCTACGGGGAAGTTACCGTTGCAATTCTGTACTAAATGTGCACCCCAAGCCTGTTCCCACCCCCCCCCCCGCTTCTGTGTATGTGCAAGATGTGCTTTTGTGAGCTGTCGCTCTCTCTCTGCCCCCTCCCAACCTTATTTCCTATTTTAAGCTTATGTTCATCTCTCCGGCCCCCCCTCTCTCTCTCCTTGCCTCTCTGTCCGTCTTTCCTCCCTCCTTACCTCTTGGTGGACTTGTATATGTATTTCTACTGACCTTGTACCTCGTATTTTTTCATTCTGTCTATGCTGGTATGTGCAATCCAGAGGTTGAACACGAAATTTAACACTCTTCTGAAATTCGTGGTCCGCCAGGAAGTGTCTAACTATGTTGTTGGCCTGACTGGTTGTGGTGGACTTGTATATGTATTTCTACTGACCTTGTACCTCGTATTTTTTCATTCTGTCTATGCTGGTATGTGCAATCCAGAGGTTGAACACGAAATTTAACACTCTTATGAAATTCGTGGTCCGCCAGGAAGTGTCTAACTATGTTGTTGGCCTGACTGGTTGTGCTTCACATAATGTTTTTTAGGTTTGTTAAATTCTCGTCTCTCATCTTTTTGTTGTATTTACCTCCATGATTTGTTCTTGACACCTGATGAAGATCGCTTGTGTTGTGATCGAAACGTCGTGATTGTTTTTTTAAATATAATTTTATTGTATTTCTACATACGTGACTTTACCGGAAAAAAATAAACAATGAGTAACCCTACATGTCTTTAATGTCTCTGCAAGGGAGTTAGGCGGTGAAATATTTTCAAAACGAATTTGTCTGAGGGAATTTATATTTCAGGAAAATTACACATTTGACTTAAGTCCAAGGAAAAGTGCACTCCTCAAACTGGGATAAGACCAAACTGGAGGCCAAATAGTTGGTCAGCAGTGGAGTGCGCACGTGCTGTAAGGTATGTGTATGAATGTGCAAGAAAGAGTGACCCAGTAGTGTTATTAAATACATTCCGTAGAAGCATTACTAGCTATCTCAAGCGAAGACATTTAGACAGGGTTTACCTCTTGGCTGGCATTGCACACATGCACATTCGACGTACGGTGCTCAGTTGTGCAGATTGGTCACATCATACCAAGGACTCTAAGGCATCAGCTCTACCAGCTTATAGCAGCTACCACTTTACTCAAATCACATAGCTGCTGCCAGTAGACTTACATTACAGAGCAACTGCTAGTAGACTCAAAAAGCATCACCAGCGTTGTATTACCACCATGAAACCTCTCAGCTGGAATGCACGACCTCAAGCAACATCAGGAGCAGCTAATATAGGACTTTAAATAGTGGAGACTCTTTCACCAGGGTCAGAAGAACCACGGACAAAATCTGGCGATACTTGAACGGCGTCAGTTCAGGTATTGGCCACTCCAGAGCAAATACATCTTTCAATGGGGGTCCATCTCGACCAAGTCCAGAACACGACCTGCGTTTGTTGCAAAGATCAGACGATTCCTCACTCATCCACTCTCGTGTAATCTATACCAAGTAAATGAAAATGAAATGAAACTGAATGGAGGCGTCGCACACAACTGACAAATTGTAGCACTGTCATGGGCCGTGTGAGGGCCTGTGCCCACATATTATTGTGACTGGTAGGCACAAAATGAATGAAGTGTTTTCTTTAGCAGCCCTTGTCCCAATAATCTACGATGGTTATACTGGATATCTTTCCCTTTGGGTTTTTATTTCTCTATATCTCTCTCTATGTATGATTGGCCTTCTATGTGACTCCCTCCCTGTCTACATCTATCTGTGCATGCATCTCTCTTAATGTCTCACGTCCCTGCCAGTCTACATACCTCCGTCTCTGTCTCTCCGAAGCCCATCCTCCACGTAGGTGAACACCATTTAGAGCATCCATCCACTCCAGACTCCGAAAATTATTAACCTCACTTATTGGCCTGCTCGGCCAGTTTCAGATGTCTTATTCGGCTAGAATTTCACGGTTTGGTTTTGGTACGTTGCTGGGAGATGGGTTTGCTCTTTCCATAATGTCTCGTATACATGTTTGTGCACCTAGCTTGTCACAAGCGCTGCATCGGGTTTGGGTTTTAGGCCAAATTTCACCACGCTGACGTGGTGATGTTGATCTTTTTCTGCTGATAGTTCGACGTGTCTGAAGATAAAATCCAGGTCACGGTGGTCATAGAGCAGTCTGCTAACCACTAGGCCCACCAATTCTCACGTACTCTCTCACATTTACAATAAAAAAACAACAACTACATGTTAAAGTATATACCCCAGGGCAGATTCGAACTCCTGGTCATTTTTAAGGAACTAAAGTTTTATACGAACCAGTTGACGGCTCTGCCCACTGGTATCCTCCTCAAACTGACCCAACTGATGCGAGTGCAGCTACACAATCACATCTGCAGACCGTTCCACAGGTCCAGGTTTTACCCACGATCACGTGCAGTCCCGTGTACACGATGCACGCTTATAGGGTGCTGTGACGTCATTGTTAGCCAAGACGACGTGCTAAATTTATACAGCCGTGTCAGGTTGTTGTGGATCATGGATCCATTGGTCAAAGTGAACCTTCGTCTAAGCCCGTTAGTGTCCTCACACCCAGACTCTTTAATAATCGCACTCTACTCAGGGCAGGAGTCTGAGGAACTTGCCACTCACTAGCTCAGCAGTCTCAGAACTTCCAATCATCTCTTCATACTCTCTCCAGTGTTACCAACCCCTGAACGTAAGTCGTCGCCAAATGGGTCTCTAAGAGTGTCTTATTGTTGCTACATAGTCCGTATAATGTCATCATGAAGTTACTCGATGAGTTACCAAGCCGCAAACATAGCAAACCGATACCACACCTTCGTGGGTAAATGCACGCATGTTGATGCACCTGCAGATGTTAATGTCGACGAATGTAATGCTTCGGCATCCGTTATAATTACCAAAACATATCACGTTAAATTAACACCAATGTTCGTGTATTACTCGACTTTTTTTGTCAATGTATTTAGTTTCTAACGGGCCTCATGTTTCTTTATCCATATCTCACTGTTCGAGGGAGTTTGTTTGCTACCCAATGGGAGACTGAGTTCATGCGGAAATTTCAGATTCTTCACGGGTGTCAAGGCGCCCCATTGTCGGACTTAGGCTTAAACCATACATCAGTCATACTCTTTCTGCTCTGAATAAAAAAGTTCCAAACGCAAGAATAAATATAAAATAGTCTCTGAGTGATATATGTGTCTATGACGCACGTGTAGGGTTCATTATCAGTCGCTGTCGCTCGGCCTCCGACCCAGCCATCTATCTGTACAACAACCCATGGGACTGCGCCTGTTCACACGGCCTGAGTCTCAGCCAGTGAGTGGTTTGAGCCGAACTCGGGCTACGTCGCCTCGATTGGTTACACCCAATGTCCTGACTCGTTCAGTACTGCTAAGAGATGGTGATGTTCGTGAGACCCAAAATAACAAATAGCTCTTGTGTTATAGATGCCGAGCAATTCAAGATTAATAGATTGGAGTTCACTATCACGATTGAATCGTGACAATTTTGTGCATTTCTGGAGGATATTTTCGTGAACGAACCTGCCCAGAATAAATGTACTTAGGCCGAGTCCCATGCTGACCAACACAAGTTGAAAAGTTCATTAATGAGTAAAAATACCTCAACATGACGGTAATGCTTTCTTCTCATTCAGACTTGAGTGAAGTCACTGCATAGGCATTGCCTTAAAGCACATGGGAGTTATAATAATAAGCTCGACCATAACTCGCAGTGGCATTTGGAAAATCATCGAACAAAAATGGTCACTGCATCGCGCTCTATCATATGCACTTCCGCGGCCGTCTGGAACGTTCTTCTTTCTGATATTAGGAAGCCACTGGAGCTATGCGTTTGCAAATCCCAATTGAAAACTCACTTAATAAGAAGTGTTTTTTTTAGTTGGTTGTCCTTCCCCCGCATATCCGATTAGCACGGTTGGCTACACACGGTGTGAAATAAGTACAACATGATTGATGATACTTCCAATTTAAAATATCATACTCATGAAGTAATCGTCCAACATTCCAATTGAGATCCATCTGAATATCTTGCATTCAACTTTACTCTTCTAGGCGGCTGTTATGCCACTCTGGTCTGATTTCAAATGTGGTGGCCATTCCACTGATATTGGGCAATAAGGTGGGAGCCTCATCATTACGCTGATTGCAATATTTCGGCACTGTCGTAGACACATAATTGCTCACTCGAGAAATTGACCTGAGTAAATATTTATCGAAGCTAAACCGCAACCGGGTCTCGTTGACTGATACAACAACCAACAACAACCACCAACAATTACTAAAACCAGCAACAAAAATAACCAACCACTTACTGAACACCTGATATAGAATCGACAAAGTGGCACCTGCTGATGACTGCAAGTTCTGTGCAGTAGCCGATCGTTAGCGACGGCACTGCACATAGCGTGGTCTGTGCAAGGTGGTAGCTCACACACATATGCACGCGTAACACAGAATTGGAAAACAGGTTTAAGATGGGCATTGTGCATCCAGCTCCAGAGAAGCATGCGCCCAGCAAACTTTCTCAGAGAATGCTCTTCAACTGGTTGTCGTT